CAACCAAAAAATGTCTCCAGATATCACCAAATGTCGTCTGGAAGCACAGATTGCGCCAACTTGAGAACCACTCACCTAACTGTTCTTTCTTAATTTAAGAAACAAGTCTCTCTTACCCATTCAGTTCTACTGCCCCTAGTTTTTATAATTAAAAAGTATGAGGATAGCTAATTGGTGAAAGATTAAGTAAAATGTATTTATTTGTTATCAATGAATAAATACCAGTTTATACTCTTGAGAAATAGAGAAAAGTTTGGATAAAATCTAATGCTAAGTTGGTATATTTTTAGCAGCCAGCAATGCTTGTTAAATATGAAAAGATGTATCTAGTAGCAATTGAACAGGCTTAATATCTGGTAGATGTGTATCACTTATATCATGGATATACTGTCAGTAAATATGTTATTAAGTAATGTATTGATACAAACTGAATTTAGCGTTTCTTCTCTGCCTCCAATTATATTCATCGTTTTGGAAGCATAATCCCCAGACTTATGCAGTATGAGTGGAATTGTCAATGTACCTGTTTGTATAAGTGTGCATAATATACTTGATGTAAAGTGTTTGCAGAGATCCAATGCTTGAGAGTGTTATGGGTGCATTGATTTTTTGTGACAGTTTTATGGATTGAAATATACTGAACAGAGAAGATAAAAATTTATTTGCTCGCCTCACCTGTAATTTTTTAAAACTGATTTTTAAAAAAATCATAGGTTCATAGTTAAGGTAAGTAACCCACCTGATATTTGTGGGTTCATGGTTACAGTGGGCAACCCACTAAACATTTATCTAGTGCTTTATGCTTATTTTTGCTGTTTTTGTTTTGTTTTGTTTTTTTGGTGAGGAAGATTGGCCCTGAGCTAACATCTGTTGCCAAACTTCCTCTTTATGCTTGAAGATTATCCTTGAGCTAACATGCAAGCCAATCCTCTTCTATTTTGTATATGGGATGCCAGCACAGCATGGCTTGATGAGCAGTGAGTATGTCCGCACTGGGGATCCGAGCCCACAAACCCTGGACCACCGAAGTGGAGCGTGCGAACTTAACCACTATGCCACCAGGCCAGCCCCATTATTTTTGCTGTTTTTCACATGTGATATGGGGTATTTAGTTCCCAGGGATGATCTTTCTGCATAGTGGAAACACTGAGCACTTTTTTTTTTTTCTCTCCTTCACTTTCATTTTAATACCATATCCAACAATTCTCTTTAAATTTTTCCTTTGTATCTAATACTTTTAATTATTTCATAAGAAATGTTAAAGTGGTTATCCATCCATTCTGCATCTCTTAGATAACTAACAAATATTTGATAATGGACCTATAGCAATTTGTTAAATTAAATTGAGTTTATTTATTCCACACTTGAGGAAGTGCCTACTGTATGTGTACATGATGAGTTTATGCTTCTAGGCGCTGTGAGGGCTCCACAGGTGAATTATAGGGAGGGTCACTGTCATTAATAAGCTTATGAGGAAAGATGAGTACAAATAACTGTAATGCAATGTGGAGTCTGATGAGCTCATAAGAAGGAGCCAAGTAAAAGATGGGATGCTGATGAGAGAAGATTTCCTGGAGAGGTGGCACTTTGTGTTATATCCTCATGTCCTCAGCTGCCTGCCAGAAATCCCACCTAAAGTGGGGAACATTGTCTGCCCCTCTCTCTTTGCACCAACACCTGCTCTTTTTAGGGTGCTGTCCTTTCTAAATCCTGGAATGATTTGCAACATGATGAGCTCCTGGAGGAAACAGTCTATTAAATCCAAACAACACATAGCACTTACAGATTTTTAAAATACATCTCTTCACACGTTTCCTGCTTTAGCCAAGGCTGATTTTGAAGATAAAGTCATTAGGTATCCGGTTTTGAGCTAGATTGCCTGGTATTGAAGCAGCATCCTGGGCGGGGGATACTTCATTATTATACTATAATGGCACGGTATGAAAATTCTCATTTACTCTACAGGTATGCCTAGTGCACAGTTAAGCTAACTTACCTTCTAGATGCAAGTTCATGATGCTTACTGGCCAGTCAGTGAGTGCTGGGAAGCAGCATCTGCATTTAATCAGCATTTCCTCTTTTCTGAATAGCTAAGAGTTCTGTGACTACCCTGTGTGATTGGTTATTTTCATTTAGCAAACATAAGTTCTACAAATTGAGACTATTATTTTGACTCTTACCATCTTTTTTCTTTTGTGTACTTCTTATGGTTTAAATCAGTTGCCACCTTAAATCAAGACTTTAAAATTTCTTAAATTAGTTCTGAAATTGTGTTATTCTTTTGCTCATTTTTCAGTATGAAAGTTTTAGTCACACTGTAGAAAGATTATTTTCTAGTTGTAGAGTCAATACATTTACTTTGGAGCTACTGACTGCATAAAAAAAGAACCCTTAAATATCTAGGGAGTGTTTTCCTTTTTAAAAATATAGATTGTGCTCTGGTGCTTGGAGTTGGCTAACCATACTGAGTTAGTAAAAAGTGTGAGTGTATGTGTAAGTGTGTGTATTCTAATATACCTTTTACTTATTTGGAAGTAAAAGATAAATTCAAAAACTAGATATGGATGAAACACAATATGAAAAAAAGATGTTATGTAGATTGTCATAGAAAAATTTTCACATAATACATTGTTTCAGTAGATGCATTTTTATGAGTATGGCAGTTTTCCTGAAATAGTCAATTACTTCTTTAGGTAAGATAGATCTGAACACTCCCAGAGAATAATTTGGAATAATGATCTGTGTGATAATTTTAACTTTTTCATGGACAAAAATTGCTAAAATGTCCGAAGGACCCTAAAGACCAGACTTAGAAACTCTATCTTGTGCTAATAAGGAAATTTGCCCAATTCACTTGTGGGTGTTGTAGGGCTTGGGATAGGGGCAGCGGAGTATAGGTAAGCATATGTCCTCTGTCTGTGCGTGTGACACTGTTAGTTCACACAACAGGCATTCACCAGGTTTAATCTGGTTTTAACATCAGATTAGTTTTTGGAGGTCCCTTAATGAATAAGGCAAAATCTCTGTCTTTATTTGATTTATAGGCCATATTTATGTAAAATATATTATATAGTATTTTTTTCCAAAATGAACATATTAGGGCCATATTCTGGACTAAACAGCATTCAAAGTACCTCTGTATGATGGAGCATATCTGGTTGCTGCTATGTTGAGCTGTATAGATGAGAAAAGTGCAAGGAGAAATGTGATAGGAGATTTAAAATGCATTTTTGGAGGTAAATTTCCATTCTTCTCAGTAGAAAAGAAAAGCAGTAAATCTGTATTGACAACTTCATTTGTGATCTAGAAGAAGACAGCAAATAGCCTATTACTTAATTCGTAATTGATTCTAAGCTGAGAAGTGCTGCAAACACCCTGAAGGACAGAGAAATGATACCACAGAAAGATAGAACAGGAAAAGTAAAGTTGAGTCTAGAAAGAAGCAACAAGCACCCATGAAGTTAGCTTTGCTCTCCCCTATGGAGAAGTTCTAAATTATCAAATGCATATAATTAATCTCAGCAATATCTGCATGGCAGAGAAATACGTATTGGGTAATGGAGATACTAAATAATACCTTAATCTACCTATGTTTATAAAAATTAATAGGTGGAGAAGAAAAGAAAGACCTATATCTCGTGGCACCTAACTAATTAAATAAAATTCTCATGCTAAATAAAATATACAATTCACCTGAAAATAATGGGATAAGGAAATATTTTGTACCATAGGTAAGGTATTTTTAAAAGATTTTTCCTTCTCCTTCTTTTAAAAGAGATGAGTTGGCCTTTGTATCCCTACAGTGGACAACCTGGTGATTATGCATCCATTTTCTACCTATACATGGGTGTAGAATCTCTATTCTTGGCTGTTTTGACCTGAGAGAGGAACTGGATTTGACTCGGTTTGGAAGATACAGGGGAGCAGGGTGTTTTAATTGTTTGACTGTCATGCTCCTGGCTCCTTCTGTCCATCCCTCATGCCCCAGAGCACTGAGCAGCTGGTTCTGCAGCTGTGAACAGGGTCTAGGACAATCTCCCTGTGGAGCAGACATAAATCTTGCCAAAGAGATACAGAGAGAAGTTTTTTTGCTTGATTTTTCCATTTCCAGATTCTTGCTGGAATTGAAAGAGAAAACGGCACTCACCATGAAGTGTTTACTCCTCTTCATTAATCTGTGTTCTTTGCCTCTTTCTTTCAAGTTTCAGAAAGAGACCCTTTTAGGTTTCTAAAATAGGTAGTCATTCAAATAAACATTTTTTCTTCCCCTTCCTTGGAGTAGGAACTACAAAATTGGTTTCTTCATTTCCCGTGAAGAATTGAATTTATTCTAATATGCCAGAAGTGCTGGTAGCAAGCTGTCTCACCAGCAGACAACCTGCTGCCCTCAGCAGCTGGAACCAGACTTAGACAAGATGACATTAGCTTTGATTTCCTTGACACAATACCTCTCTACTTTCTCTTGGACCTGCTCACATACTTTCCACTCCTGGGAGTAAGCATTCTAAACTCACAAGGATCAGAAGCAAACTCTGAAATCTGGTCTGATTCCTACGGCAGTGGAACATAACTTGAATCTACCATCACACAAGAATTTAAGACTTATGAAAGAATAAATACAGTTCAAAACTGAGTAAATGTGCCACGTTATGAATCGTCTAATTCTCAGAGTTACTTAAACAGATGGAGTTCTGTGTGAATGACCTTTTCCTAGACAGGAAGAAAATAATCCATGGGAATTTAACTTTAACCTATTTAACTTTATTTGCCTGCATTTTTCATACTGATTGTTAAATTAAGTCTAATATAATGACATCCATCCATTGGATGGTAATTAGATCTTAAAGGAGAAATAGTGACGATACTTAGGACTCTAAGCAATGGCATGGTAATAATTCACCCTGCATATAATTATTTTTCTTGATTGGTCCAATCATGTGGAGAATGACTGCAGATGCATGTATGGCTAAGGCTCTAATGTTGTTATTCTGCTCCGCCAGGTGCATTGTAGAAGACAAGAACTCAAAGGTGGCCTGGTTGAACCGTTCTGGCATCATTTTTGCTGGGCATGACAAGTGGTCTCTGGACCCCCGGGTTGAGCTGGAGAAGCGCCATTCTCTGGAATACAGCCTCCGAATCCAGAAAGTGGATGTCTATGATGAGGGTTCCTACACTTGCTCGGTTCAGACACAGCATGAGCCCAAGACCTCTCAAGTTTACTTGATCGTGCAAGGTAAGAAAAGGGTGAGAGAGGTGGTAGTCAGATAATAATCATGATGAACAACGTATTTGCAAAATCCTTTCTGAAAAGAAAATTCCAAATACATTATTGCATTTAAGTATCTATTTTCTCTCTAAAAGAATAGACTTAAAATGAGAGGACTAAGGAGAATGTAGAAAGAGGAGTCTTGCCGCTGTGAGCAGTACCCTTGGTGAGAATGTTTTCTCCTAGCCCTGAGTGTGAAAACACACAGTAAAGACCACAGCTGTTGGGATAAGTTGAAATGGGGACACAAGAACACACAGAATGCTTAGAACTTTGTGAAGCCCACTTTATCACACTGTTAGGAACTGGATGCTTTGCTGAAGGTTTGATTTTTATGTATCCTCAGCTTAAAGAATGTCACTAATTATCTGTTTTTATGATAGTAAATGTTGTTTGGAAAACTAAAAATTTCCAGAGGCCTTGCCAGCCTCTCAGCTGGCCAGGTTTCTTTGTAGTTTGTATCTCCATCTAATGGCAAGTTATTTCTGATCAAATCCAGTGACAAGGATCTGCAAAGTCATTGGGGACAATCTGCTTCTAGATTAGAGTTTCCAAGAGCATATATGAGTCACGGTTTCACAGAATGAAAATCCTAAATGGCATAACCATGCCCCCAAACTATAGCTCTCTTGGGTCCCTTTCCCCATAATCGCGGAATGAGAACAAAGCTGATCAGCTGCACAATTTTATTGCAAACGAAGTCAAACCACCAGCAGTTTCAATCCATCTATTAGGAAAGATCTAAGCACTAACAAATATTAAGGCTATGTTCATGTATTCTTGATTTACAATTTTGCGTAAATTTAATGCAGATTAGGCATGGCCCTAGAGCTCCTGTCAAGATTCCACTGCAGTCAGTGGTGTGGCAAAGTTTGATGGTAGCCTCTATTAATGTGTTATGCAATTGATTATTGCAGTGTTTAAATTATTGCTCTCCCAACTCCTCTGACTAATAGATTGAAACTGGAGTAAAATACATCAGAGACTGCCTGGTGCAAGGGTGGTTTAGTCATGTGACCTCTATCTTGGTCCATTTGTGATGGCTGACAGCTTCATTTTATTGCTTGTAAAAGGCATGTCTACTGACTCGCAAAGTTCCTATCACAGTCAAAGCATAGAATGCTTTCCTTATAGTTTAGTAGAGAGTACTTGAGCTCCATTACAAGAAAACACCAGGACTTGGATCTAAGATAGCCCACTTAAATGTGTAAACATTACTAGAGATGCGTAAATATGTAAATGGATTAATTTATCACCTCCCTCAAAACACAACCACGAGCGCGCGCACACACACACACCTCAAAACAAAAGAAATCATACTTCATTCAGTGGCAGGGGGAGGGGAGATAACTAGTTTTCTTAAGGCCACTTAGAACAGATTTATCTAATGTCCAGCTCGATGTTGTATTATGAGATTCCTACACAATTTTAATACCTTTACAGTCTTTAATGTCATTGGAAAGTCACTAGAGACCACAACTAGAAAATGTGTATTGTCTTATACCAAGCAAAGTTGGGCAATCTGAGTATTATATTCCTTACTTTCTAGGTGAGGAAACAAAAGTTTATTAAATTTAGGTTACTTGTTCAAGATCACACAGAGAGTTCAGGGAGCAGTTTGGAGCCAGGCAGACCAGGAATCAAATCTGAAGCACTTTCTACTGGAATGGAAATTTTTTATGACTTTAAGAACTGCCAGATTTATATTTAAGTCTGAGCTCTTAGCACCAAATGCCCAAAGCCCTTCTCTTTCTTTTCTTATTCATCTCTGTGCTTTTTAGCTACAAACATGACTATCCTGAGAGGGTTAGAGCTAGAACTAGGTTAGATCGCATTGTGTACACCTCCAATCTGTGTCAGCACAAGTGAAATTAAATTTAACTTAATACTAAGTGCCAGGTACTGTTGGTTCATTGTCTCATTTGATTCTAATAATATTATTATTAAGTAGGTGTTAAAAACTTTATTATAAATATTCAAAATCTTAAAATTCAGAGACAATAAGGAGCCTACCAAAGGCTGCCTGTTCGCTTAGGACAGGGTTTCAAACCCACATCTGTTTGAATCAAGATATTATTGTATTTTCTTTTTAACCATATTGCTTTGAAAGAAAAAATGAGCAACAAAGCCTCTACTTGTAAGGGAGAGGAAAAAAGTATTGTCTCCTCTTTCAGCCTGAGTCACGAAGGGGGATTTTTTTGGACAATTATATGGATGTTGGCATTTGATATCTCGCACCAGATGGCTGATTCACTTTCCCTCAGGACGTTCAACTTTGTGATTATGTCAGTGGTTCCATCTCTTCATGCTGTTTGTTCACACTACTTCATGCTCCAAGCCTCAACTCTGCATGTTTTCACCATATCAAAGCTTCTGCTTCTAGATATGCCTGGCATCCCTCTTTCCTCCAACCCCACAGCACCTGCCTTCAGAATATAAGGGTCTGTTGAATTTTTCAAATTCTGCCTTGTTCACCCTCTATGGTTTCTGCAAATCCAACTTAACTAGTCATTAAATAAATACTGTATTCGTTTTCCTCACCCAATGGTGAGGCCACTTTTAGCTCAAAGGTGGTATGATATATCACTAAATAATAGCAGTTAAGAAGGCAGGCTTTGCAGTCATATTGCCTGCTTCAAATATCAGTTTTCTTTCTTGCTACTTAAATTTTGGGGTACACCACTTAATTTCTCTAAGGCTCAGTTTTGTCATGTGTAAAATAGAGATAAAATTAAATTTTTAAATCCTCCTAAATTTATCCTAAGGATTAAATTAGATTATCTATGTAAGCCCCTAGCCTGGTGTCTGGAGATCTTGTGTTCTTACCCAATAAGATGATGGTGGTGATGATGATGATGATGATGACGACGATGACAATGACAACCATGATACTGCTGCTGCTCTAGTGTCTCTCAGAAGGCTCACTTTTGCCCTAGGGGTGCTACCCAGAGTCTAACAACTGCAGCATCCACTCATTGCCTGTTACCTTGCGGTAGGCTCTTTCAGCTTTTATATCGGGTCCCTCTAGTCCATTTTCTTCAGTTCTCCTTTTCCTTAGCATTCAGTCTTCAGCTTTACTTCTTTAGGATCCTAAAGGGCTTCTTAGACCAGCATCACTTTTAAGTTCTCAGCTACATTTATTAAATGTCTTTGAGGAGAAAATGCAGTGTGCATCAGAAACACATAGAGGGTTTGTTAAATTTTAGATTGGTGGCACTTCCCCAGAATTTCTGATTAAATAGTTCTGGAGCTAGGGCCTGAGAATTTGCATTTCTAACACATGCCTAGGTGACACTCATGCTGCTGGGGCAGGGACCACACTTTAAGAACTACTGCTTTAAAAGAATTGTGTACCTTCAGAACATCTGGGAAAATAATCCTTCATAATTTCATTCAATTTCAGGTAGTGTTACACCCTCGAATACTCCTAAAACTAATCTTGTTGGACATGAGACAGAGAACAGGTAGATTGACAGATATCTTAACTTTCATGATAACATCTTAGGCCTTGCAAGTCTGCTTACCTAGCCTAGTCCTGCGGAAATAAAATCTTCTTCTCTCTTCCCAAATTGTCTATTTTCAGGTATCAAAGCTAGAAAAAAAAATTATTGAGACATAAAAACTGCTCTAGACTTCACAAATCTCAAATTTATAAATTTTTAAGCATTTGTGCACCCTCACGTTTCTCCTACATGCCATTTCCCCTGGAAGCCTTCTTTCCTTTTATACATATTCCCACCATGTTAGTGATTTTTCAACATCTCCAAAGTTTTCTCTCTTATTATGGTGATTATTTTTCAGAAGGAAAGTAAGTTTTTATCAGTTCATGAGAGTCATTACACACAAAATATCCTGTGTTGAAATATATATGCTACATGGTTCACTAAACCTAATCTTTAGCTAAATGACATCTCCACACATCTTCCTCGTGAGATACACAGGTGAAAGTTTTGCATCAGCAAATATACAAATCAATAATGACCTTTGGGATCACTTGTGATTAGTGGTATTAAATGTTGCATCTGTGGAAGCCAAGGCTAGTCAAATATAAACATGCATTTGAGATACTTAATAAATGGTGGGGCCCATTTCTAAAGCCAGATATTTTGGTTTTCATGCCACCTCTTTTACAAATTCTAAGATAAAAGATTAAGAAAACATCACCCTTAACTTCAATAAAATCAACAGAGTACTCTGGCTTCCTTCCCATTAATAATGTCCATTTCTTCTCCAAAGATTTCCTGCGTTTTTTGTTCATGTCACAGAGAGAGTCACATCTGTTAAGGTGATGTTTCTCTTTATGTGATTCTTGCATAACCTGCAACAAAGGCAAGATTTTGGTTTATTATACGTGTCAAAATGAGAACCATTCCCAGAACAATAGAATCAGAACCCCTGGGAATGTGGCCAAAATTTGCAGATACACTATGCTCTGCCAGTGATGCAGATACATGTGAAAAACCAAGAACTACTGTTCTAGAGATCTAAGCAATCAGTGAGAGGGATTTGCTGCTGCTGCCTGCTCATTTTCCTGCATGACACAGCACCAAATTATGTCTAAAACTCTGTGGAGCAGGTACTAGAGCCTTGTAATTGAAAAATTAAAAATAGAATAAAATAAACCTGTGTACTCATCAAAAAGAGATTAAGCTCATGTTCTTGAGCCCTGAGAACAGTGGTTCCAAAAACGACGTTTTTTTTTTTAATGTAACATTAAGCTTCTCCATGTGTATGTGAATACAAAGGACATCTGAACATGACAGTGTTTTTAAATGTGAATCTTATTTTTAAATATGTCATTCACAATACCTTACAACATTTATCATATTTTCAATTTATTTATTACATTATTCTTGAGTCCGTTAGCCATCCTAAAGTGTTTATTTCTATGTTGAGTCTTCTCCTTTTTTATGCTATTCTAATTTGGTTAATATTGTTTTAGAAATGGCCAAATCTGCATACACTAA